ATCATGCTCCCAGAAAGGGAGGTTGCAGCCAGTCTAGAAGGCCTCCCTCCCTAGAGAATACTTTGAAGTACTCTGAAGAAAACAGCAGAAGGGCGACATGCTTCCAAGGGGGTGTGGGAGCAGAAGCACTGGGGAGCAGGACACCTTAGAGCCCTCCTTGGCCTCGTTAAATTTGCTTATTGGTTGGGATGATGCACTGGCTTTGGAGAGAAGATTAATGGCCCGAGGCAGCTCTAGAGACTTTCTGTTAAGCTGCTTTCATTCTTTAATCTCATGTATAATTATAGTAGCTCTTTTTAAAAAGAATTATTTATTTAATTTTATTATTTGTTTTTAATTTGAGCAGAGAGAGACAGAGAGAGAGGGAAAGTGAGAAAGCAAGATGCCAGGTCCAGGACTCGTACTGCAGTCAGCCATATGGGAGTCCACACCTTAATCATGCCACCTGCCAGCCTACATTATCTTTTAAGTGGTGGAGAAATTGGGAATGGGGTTGTCACCGCAACTAGATTACTAAATTTTCCTTGTTTCCTCCCATCCCTCATTCTTTTGTATAGTCTTAAAAATATTATTTTTAAAAAGTATACAATTAACGTGAATTTATGTTTATTGGCGGATAGTACGGAAATATCTAGGGACAAAATCTAAAGTTCCTCTGCCAATCTCTATGTATGCGTATACATTAATATATACAGGTAAAGGTTTTCATTTTTCTTTATATTATTTTAGGGACCAGCAGATGGTTATGTCACTGGACTTCCACATAGTTGACCATGGTTCGAGTCCTAGACCTGGTGTCTTAAAACTCACTCCAGGGGACCAGCAGGTGGCGTGGTGGTTAGGACACTGGACACTCCCACATAGCTGACTAGAGTTCGAGTCCCGGACCTGGTGGCTTGCTTTTTCACTCTCCCTCTCTCTCTCTCGCCTTCTGTGTGTCTCTCTTATTAAAATAAATTAACGAGGGAACCAGCAGTTAGCATAATGGCTATGTCGCTGGACTCCCACGTAGTTGACCGCGGTTCATGTCCCGGACCCGGTGGCTTAAAACTCATGCCGGGCGCGTGTGTGTGTGTGTGTGGCCAAGATCCCAAGAGAATGGAGGAGAAGGGATTGCGGTGTGACCATCACCCCTGGAGGGTGATTTCTCGCTTTCTGTCTCTTTGTCTCTCTCTGTCTGTCTGGCAAATGCACACGCCCTATAGCGAAAACCTCTCCCCCCCAAAATAATAAATTAATTAATTAATTAATAAAATAAAATAAATAATTTTTAAAAACACCCTATGCCACGTCTGTGTGTGAGTGTGCCCAAGATTCCAAAAGGAAAATGGAGGAGAAGGGATTGCAGTGTGGCCATCCCCCTCGAGGGTGATTTCTCACTCTCTATCTCACTGGTGAGTGCACACAACCTACAGCAAAAATATCTCTCTTTAAAAACAGTTATTTTATTTAACTTTATTTATTTATTCTGATTTGATCAGAGAGGGACAGAGTGAATGAGAGAGAGGGAAAGTGAGAAAGCAAGCTGCGAAGTCCGGGATTTGAGCATGGTCGACCATGTGGGAGTCCAGCGCCCTCAGTGCCACTTCCAGCCCCAAGCTATTAATTTTTATAATATGATGGGAATTGCTCTCAGTATTGTAATTATGTCAAATCTTTCAGTCCTATAAAAGAAATCATTCCAGAGTGATCATTTATATTCAACCCTTGGTCATCCTTCCCCTTGTTTGATCAGTTGCTATAATAGTACATGGTAAAATTGATGGAACTGTGTGTGAAGCATGTATTAGGTGCTTTGTATTTTTCCTTCTTTAATTGCCAGAGGGCATGTACACTCAACAGAGATGAGATAGAAAAAGGGAGAAAGCACTCCTCAGTGGAGGCTGGTCTTACTGCAGTCCCTTCTCCATCGTTTCTCCCTTCAGTTGAGATTCAGGGCACACATGTACATGTACCTAATATGTTTCACAAGCCACCTGGGCCAGGATTTGAACCCCAGTCAGTCAGCCGTGTGGGATTCAGCTAAACCTCTAGGCTATGGGGCTGTTCTTGTATATTCTTGGCTTTTTGGCTGAGATCAAGTGTGGCATTTTACATAAGATTATATTTTGTTTCTAATACCCACAAACAATCCTGTAAGTTTTGTTATTTTTAACATCACATTATAGATGAGGGAAACTAATTTATTCAAGGTAACATGACTAATAGTGGCTGTTCAGGGAATCAAACTTAGGTCATTCTAACCTTTTTTTTGGGAGAGGTTTATGCTATAAGGTGCGTGCGCTCACCAGACAGACAGAGACAGAGAGACAAAGCGAGAAATCACCCCCCAGGGGGGATGGCCACACCTCAGTCCCTTCTCTTCCATTCTCCTCTCAGGATCTTGGGCATGCACGCACACCCACCCGGCGTGAGTTTTAAGCTGCCAGGTCCGAGATGGGAACCGCAGTCAACAACATGGGAGTCCAGCGACATAGCCATTACGCTAACTGCTGGTCCCGGTCATCCTAACTTTTAAAGCTGTGTCCTACTGGGGGCCAGCAGGTGACATGGTGGTTAAGGGTGCTGGACTCCCACCTGAGCAACCGCGGTTCAAGTCCTGGATCTGGTGGCTTGCTTTCTCACTTTCCCTTTCTTTTTCTCACTCTGGTCAAATTAAATTGAAATTAATTAAATAAATAAAAATACAAGTTAAATAAAATAAGTCTTTTAAAAATTATTTAATTTTATTTATTCATTTGTTTATTTTAATTTGACTAGAGAGACAGAGAGAGAGAGAGAATGGAAAAATGAGAAAGCAAGTCACAAGGTCCGTGACTTGAACCGTAGTCAGCCATGTGTGAGTGTCCAGCACCTTAATCACCATGCCACCTGCTAGTCCCCAATAAAATAAGTCTTTAAAAAAAAAGCTGTGTCCCACTGCCCTATTGTACCTGTGCCACCTTCAGTGATGCATCTGCCTTCCCTCTAGGTGTTAGAACACTGCTTTTCAAACTGTCTATGGTAAAGATTAGTAGTATTTTTTCTCCAATCAAATACTTTGTAGAATATGTTATAAAACAGTTACTAGAAAAAATTTAAAGGCCAAATGTATAAATAAATACAAAACAGACCTAACTATATTACTAGATTCAAAATTATTGGTCAAATTGCTACATAAATTTCTACATGGTTTTCATTTCTGTACTTTGCCAGCATAGTACTACAGGTGCCCCGTAAGGCACTGCCTTACAAGCTTTAGGGTGGTGCAATAGAATCTTAACTAGTTTTTTGGGCCAGCCTATGGTCTGGTGGTTAAAGTGACTGGATCACAGATGGTGAACTGTGAGGTTTGAGTCCTGGACCCAATGGCTTGGAAGAACACACCAGGTGTGTGTCCACACGTGACCAAAATCCTTGAAAGGAGGGAAAAGTGGAGTAGAAGGGATTATGTGATACTGTACCCAACGGGAGGGTGCTTCTTGCTTTCTCTCTTTGGAGAGGTAAAAGCCCTCTGGGAAATTTAAAAAAATAAAGGAACTAGGTTTTTTTGTCGTTGTTAATTTGCTACAGGGCACATATGCTTGCAGGGTTGGGGGAGGCATCCCCCATTCAAGAAGCCTTGCTATTAATTCTGAAGAACTACTTTTAGATGTAATGTTAAGTACCAACGCTAGTCATTTACCTTTGGTGGATTTCAGTTCTTAATCTATAAAACAATATCTGGGTGAATTAAATAATGTGGGGGAGAGATTTTTGCTATAGGGTACATGCACTCACTGGAGAGACAAACAGAAAATAAGAAATCACCCCCCCTGGGGGATGGCTATGCTGCAGTCCCTTCTGTTTCATTCTCCTCTTGGGATTTTGGGCACTCACGCACACGCACCTGGAGTGAGTTTTAAGCCACTGGATCTGGGACTTGAACTGTGGTCGACTTCATGGGTGTTCAGCAACATAACTGCTACACCATCTCTTGGTCCCTTAAATGCTCTTTAATGCCCTACATTAGAGTAAAATTTGGTAGGAAGAGTTGCTTTTATTATAATAACTTCTTATCAAGGATGAATTAATGGAATCACTGACTGGAAAGTTCAAAGGAGTTTTAAGAGATTAGTCGATTTAGTCCAATGTCTTTTTTTTTTTTTTTAAGAGAGGTTTTTGAAAAAAAAAAAAAAAGAGGTTTTTGCTATAGGGCGCAGGCAGTTGCCAGAAAGAGAGAGACAGAAAGGGAGAAATCCCCCTGGGGGGGAGGGGGCTGGCCATAATGCAATCCCTTCTCCTCCATTCTCCTCTTGGGATCTTGAGCACACATGCACATGTGCCCAGCACCCAGCGTGAGTTTAAGGCACTAGATCCAGGACTTGAACTGTGGTTGACTACATGGAAGTCCAGCAACTTAGCCATTATGCCACCTGCTGGTCCCTCAATTTAGTCCTCTGTCTTTACAGAAGTTACCTCTGACTCATAGGTAGCATAGCTAAAACCCAGAAAGTTTAAATGGTTTATCCAAGGTATGTAACCAGTGTCACAACAACAACAGAAAAAACTAGAACGTAAAAGTATATTTACCAGGGCTGGCAGGTGGCATGGCAGTTAAGGGCACTGGACTCCCACATGGCCAACCACGGTTCGAGTCCTGGACCTGGTGGCTTGCTTTTTTACTTTCTCTCCCTCCCTCTCTCTCATTCTGTCCCTCTGTGGTCAAATTAAATAAAAAAGTTAAAAAAAAAAAGTGTTATTTACCGGGCTTGCAGATGGCATGGGTTAAGGGCACTGGACTCGCACATGGTCAACTACAGTTTGAGTCCCAGACCTGGCAGCTTTCTCTCTCTCTGTCTCTCTATCTCTCTCTGGTTAAATGAAAACAAATAAAGTAAATAGATAGGTAGACAGATAGTTAAAATAATTCTTTAAAAAAAAAAGTGTATTTACCACAGAGCCTGTAGTACACATGTAGACTTTTCTGAAATTAGCTTGATTGGATAATTATAATATCTTCTGTTTTTCCTTCTCTGTAGGTTCTTTGCATTGACATCCCTTCGTCTTGTGTTTTTACTTGCATTCAGCTTGATGATCATTGTGTGTGTCGATCAATGGAAGAACAAAATCTGGCCTGAAATAAAAGGTGAGTTTGGTAGCATTCAGAACCCTCCGAATTGAAAATGACCTTTCCTATCATTTTTACCTTTCATTTTGTGAGTTTCGGAAGGGGTATGTAGAGCTCTGGACTGTCTGTCTTTTGAAGTCTGGATTATTTGCTTTAGGAGACACTTGAAGGGTTTGTGCCCCATCTTTGGTTCCTCAAAGCTGGGTTCCACCTTTTTTATTGTTAATAAGCTCAGGATATCTGTATCCACCACTGAGATATCCTTGCCAACATAGGTGGTCATTGAAGATTTTTAAATTAGAGCTATATGCTGAGATGATAGTAAGGATCAATTTGATAGCACTTTTAGGGCCACATGGAAGGAGAAAAAGAGGAAGGATGACAGTCTCTTAGAAGACTATGACATTGTCTTTATGAGAAGTAGTTAGAAAGGTGTCCCTGAAAACAACTGTTGGATGGCTTGGAGAGTTAGGGAGATACATCAAGACTGACATATAACTAAATGGGGGTTAGAAGAGTAAGGGATAAAAGCTGACTTGAGAATTTTATTTATTTATTGACTAATTTTTAAATAACTATTTTATTTAACTTTATTTATTTATTTTAATTTGACCAGAGAGGGACAGCAAGTAGAAAGAGAGAGACAAATTGAGAAAGCAAGCCACCAGGTCCAGGACTCGAACCGTGGTTGGCCATGTGGGAGTCCAGCACCCTTAACCACCTTCCAGTCCCTGCTTTGAGGATTTTAAAGCTAGGTGAGTGAGAGAATGGTATTGTAGTTAGCAGATATAAGTAAAGCCAGGCAGGGCAGCAAGGAAAATTGATGTAGGTTTCAGACATGTTAGTTTTGAAGTGTTGGCAGGATATTCAAACCAGAGTCTACAGCTTTTAAATACATTTCCATCTTATTTTATAGGGACTTCAAGGAATTATGTAATGTAGCTCATCTGCCTGTTTCATGGCTGGTGAATGTCTAAGGACTACATCATTCTAGGTAGATAATGGGTGTCTTTAAAGAGAATAGGCAGATGACTAGGGTTGGAGTAGTTACAACTTGCCTTGGTAGCCTGGCACACATAAAAACGTATGAACAACCCAGACACACTCAAGGGTAGGAGGGCCATTTTCTCGTATACCTTGGCTTTTAGCCGAGATAATTACATGTGGCTGTAATGGTCCATTTGGACCCCACCTCTTTTTCCATCTGAGAAATGAGCAGGCTTAAGCCATTATTCCCTGTCTGCTGCTCCCTAACTCTGGCAGTATAACATGGTGTCTTCTTTTTATTGGCTATTACTGTTTTCTTTTCCCCAAACCTATTACAACTTGAGCTGTCAGACCAATAGCCTAACATTTTTATGTTTAGTTTTCCCTACCAACTAATGCTGGTGTTTGTTTTAATGTTGTAGTGCCAAGACCCGACGCATTAGACAATGAGAGGTATGGAACACTAATTAAAATCCCTTTTTGTTGCTCTGATTTATTCTTTTGTAATATTCTGGTTACATGCTGTTAACCCCATGTTCTGGACACATACTGTAAGCTGAGAACCTAGTAGTGTGTTCTAAATGACCATTTTAGTAACAAATCCTCAAGTTCAGGCAGCAGTATGTTGAGATGGCCAGTGTCCTCTGATCTTTACAAGAGAAGTTTCTGCAAAAGCAGCATTACAGGGCCCTATAACCTGACATGCCAGGGAATTAGCTGCATCATCCAGCCCCATTGTGAAAACTTAAGAGGCAACCAGCTTCATTTGTCTCTTGGCTTTCATACCAGGTCATTTAGTGTTTTCTGTGACCTCCATCCCTTGAAAGTTCCTGGTCAGAAAACACATTGGTTCCTGGCATTTGTAAGCCAAAGCCAAAGATTCCTCTTGTGTCTTACAGCTCCTGCTTTCATCTCTCAGTTCATCCACTCCATATGTTTGATCCCAGGAATTTTCTCTGCTATGGTTTATTTTGGTTTTGCTTTATTTATTTTTTTCTCTAAGGGGCACATCCACCATTGCCTCCCCATCAGCAACAGTGGTGTCAGTCAGGCTGTGCTTTACTTTTGCCTCTGAATTGCAATCCCAGTGAGTCGCATTGGTCTGAATGCAGGGGAGAAAATGTTTCTAAGCACAAAGGCCTTGGAGCTGGTGGCAGGTTTACACACGTGGATTGAGCTGCTTGCTCATAGGGTGGAGTTGTCAGAACAAGTTTGCCCTCCTTGTCCGTAATTTCAAGTTTCAACCTGGTGAGCCAAGAAGAAAGTCATGCTTCACTTGCAAAGTACCTGGGACTAGCCACTCCCCAGCCCCTGTTTAAACTCAGAAGCACTGGCTGCCTATAAGCAGGATGGGGGGACCCTCAACACCCTCCTTTCACAGCTCCCCCTTCTCTCTCCCATAGCTGGGGCTTTGTACACCCTCGGTTGCTCAGCGTGCCCGAGCTCTGCCACCATGTAGCTGAAGTCTGGGTTAGTGGGACCATTTTCATAAGGAATCTTTTGCTTTTCAAAAAGCAAAACCCAGGCAAGGTAAGACTTTTCCCTTTTTCACTTTCATCACTGGCCTCTCAGTTCAGTTTATGCTAGACTGAAACAGCTCCTTTAATATACACATGATTCAAGGAAAAAAAGATGGTGATATATGTAGAGACAAAGGGAAGTTGTAGGGATGGGCTTCTGACTAGCCATTAGAACTAAGGCAAGAGCTCGATGACTCGTTTGGTGTGTTTGCTGCTAAGATTAGGCCATTTTCTTGCCCCAAGATGGGAAAGAAAGCTTGCTTATGTGCATTCTGTGTTATTAAACGTATAGTAGGTTGTTGGGGTTTTTTCTTTCTTTTTTTTTTTTTTGCCTTTGACTTAAAAAAAAAAAAAAAAAAAAACATCACCAACACTTGCTTTTGGAGAGAATTTTTGGCTAAGTCCTATTCAAACCAGTTTCCCGGCATGAAAGGTGCACCTGTGTTAGGTTAGCCATATAAAAGGAGTTTGAATAGAATGGGACAACCTCCTTTTCCTTTCAAAATCACCATTGGATGCCAAAGTGGTTATGTCTGTCATTTTGACGTGTCCATGCTTAATTCACAGATTGATCATAAAGATCTTTTCAATCACATCTCCACCTTAACTCTATCCCTTATTGTGGCAGAAACTTAATTCCATTTCTTGACTCCCCCAGTTCTGCTTGCTGAGCTGTGGGATACTGACCTTTCTGGCTGTCTTGGGTCGTTACATCCCTGGCCTCCTGCTGTCCTACTTGATGCGTAAGTATGGCACATACCTCTCCCGAGGAACCATACCTTACTCGTGGCTTTCCAACCGTAGCTAACTTGGTCAAGGAGGAAGACTTTCAGGTTTCAGTTCTCTGGGAAGTGACCCTTTTCATATTTTCATGAACTGTGTAAGGCATGAAAATATCGTCTCACCTGTAGCAGGCTTTCCACATACAAAGTCCTTTTTTTTTTGGAGAATTTTTTTGCTATAGGGTATATGTGCTCGCCAGAAAGACAGAGAGATAGAAAGTGAGAAATCACTCCCCGGGGGGATAGCCACACCGCAATCCCTTCTCCTCTATTCTCCTCTTGGTATCTTTGGCATGTACACACACATGCCTGGTGTGAGTTTAAGCCACCGGGTCCGGGACGCAAACCATGATAGACTACATGGGAATCCAGTGACACAGCCTTTATGCCAACTGCTGGTCCCCTAAAGTCCACTTCTTACCAAGTCAGTTTTAGAAATCGATGAGAGTCCATTAATGCATATTGTATTACCAACTATGAAGGACTGTCTGTCCCTATTTAAGGAAGGGATTTTTTCCTATATTCATGATAGAGTTGTGTACATGCATGAGAGAGAGAACCCTCCACGGGGTCTGGTCACACTGATCCCTTTCTTCCAGTTCTTCAGCCTATTGGATCTTGGGCTCTTAATGTGCATACCCAGCATGTTTCAGGCTAACCGGACTGGAAATTTGAACCACAGTTGCCATGTAGCTTCTGTCAAGCTGCACATTACCACTGGACCAAAGAGCAGCCTTTACAAGGAATTTTTAGTCAATATATTGTATAAAAGCAGACATAGCCCTGAGGGTTCTTTTACCTGCTAGGTTATTTTACCCCAGCACATTTTTGTAAATTTGGTTACTTCCTATTGGCATGTGCTCTGCTTGCTGGAAGAACTGAGTAGTTAGCCATGGCTATTGTATAGGAAACATCACATGACTTCCCGTGTAGATTTTGAGGCTTAGTTTCCATTTAGCCTTATTTATTATGGCTCAGTGACACGCACATGCAAGTGGCCACAGTGTCTGGCTCTGCCCTTGGATTGTCAGCAGTACCCTGTGCTGTGCACAACCGTGTACAAGGCCCTGTGGGTGGCTGTAGAAGTCCCTGCCTCAGAAATCTGAGTCATAGGAGAGACAGTCAGAGACAGCCAGCAGAATCAAGCAGAACTGTTCCACATTTAGTGTCCAAGGCTAAAGGACGCAGTAGCAGTGGGATAGTTAGGATTGTTGTGTGGAGCCCCTTCTCCATTTTTCTACTCCTCCTCTCAGTTGTCACCGTCATGATGTGGCCCCTGGCTGTGTATCACCGACTGTGGGATCGAGCATATGTGCGACTGAAGCCAGCTCTGCAGCGGCTGGACTTCAGCGTCCGTGGCTACATGATGTCCAGGCAGAGAGAGAGACAATGTAAGTGTCACCAGACGGCTTCTTCCACTTGGAATTGTGGGAAGAGAAGGAGAAGCCTGTAGTTCTGACATCCTGGGTAATCCCCAACTGTGGAAGTCCCGGGATGTGGTAGGTGGGATTGGGGGATAGGAGGTAAAAGTGATATTCTATTCCAGGGAAACCTATGCAGGCTTGCCAGTTTTTCTCATTTGGAATTCAAGACTCTCTCATTTTACACAAATCTGAGAAAAGTTCTCCCACGTTGAGTAAAAGGCAGACAGTGAAGATATCCTTGGTGTTAGCTACCTTTTTTTTTTTAATTGTCAGAGGATGGGGCCAGCAGGTGGTGTAGTCGTTGGGGTGAGCAGGTGGTGTAGTCGTTGGGGTGCTGGACTCCATGGTGGACCACAGTTTGAGTCCCGGACCTGGCAGTTTGCTTTCTCACTTTCCCTCTCTCTCCTTAAAAATAATAAATAAAAATAATAAAGTAAATCTTTTTTTAAAATAATAATTTATTTATTTATTCATTCATTTATTTTAACTTGACTAGAGAGAGAGAGAATGAGA